TTTTTTTACTTACCCTCATACTTTTTAAACACTTAAAACAAGTTTAAATAAGCAAAGAGACAAGGTGTACACTGTATCATACCTTGCAGGCATTTCAAAACGTAGGATGTCCTGGAACATGGAGAGCATGTATTTGTTCATTTCCTTGGGAAGCTCTCCAATAGAAAGAAGAAGGTTTTTAACTTCTATGTATGATGGGTTGTTATTTAAAATGATAGCAGCTGCAGTAGTACGCACAGTCTTTTCATGAACTTTATGGTTCTGGTGGTATATCCTGTTCAAAGTCTTCTTTACCTGTTTATAAGATGTTCAAGGTCAGTTAGTGTACATTTAGATTTTCAGAATTGATATTCAGGCAGAAATTGTGAGTGTTCATAAAAATATGCATGTGATCTTATATTTCCCAGGTTGCTTTGCAATTGTGTTGTTCTGAAAAGGCTAGTTTTGGCTAATAGACTATGAAAAGAAGTAACATGAGTCATTTATGGACTGCAGTGGCTAAGAGTTGATGTGCCTTCTCCATTCTTTCCTCCACTACTTTGGTGAATTTAAGGACACATATTCTCTTATTCACATTGAGTAGAGTATAAATGAGAAATAAAGGACTGTTTAGCTGCTGAGACTTTGAGATTTATTTGTTACCAAGCACACTCTGGTGTTGCCTCCTGACTGGCACAGATATTTTTCAGAATATAATTGCCATAGGACAATGGGCTCTGGTGAAGTACCTCAGAAATCTCCTACCTTTTTTTTTTTTTAAAAAAAAATGAAAAAAAAAAAAAAAAAAAAAAAAATCCACAGTAGTTCATTCTGTGAGAAGTACTTTGACTGGCTAATATCATTGCCTAAGAATTCAACCACAACTCATCTGTCATTTTGTCATACGCTGGTGCCTTGTCAGTTGCTGTGATTCTGAAAGCTATACCACGGGTATTTTAAATACCAGCAAGGTCACCCATGGTGGAAACCATGAGTTTCCAGACAAAGACACACTAGGAAGAAAGGGTGTCAAACTACTTCCGAATATTTAGACACAGAAAACCTTATGAATAGCAGACAAACACTGTCAGATACAGGGTCAGAAAATGAGCCCCTCAGGTTGGAAGGCACTCAAAATGGGATTGGGGAAGAGCTGCCTCCTCAAAGTAGAGTTGACCATGATAATACGAATGAAGTAAACCCTGTGTGAGAAAAGCCCGCAGAACCTTCATTTGCTGATGAGGCACAACTCAAAATGAAGAGACACAGCTGTAAACATCCATTGAAAATCGCAACTTGGAATGTACAAAGTTAAAAGTGACCATCAATTACTCATATGTAAATTCAAACTGAAGCTGAAGGAAATGAAAACAAGTCCACGAGAAACAAAATATGACCTTGAATTTATCCCACCTGAATTTAGAGATCATCTGAAGAACAGATGTGATACATTAAACACTAAAGACCAAAGACCAGAAGAATTGTGGGATGACATCAAGAACATCATGCAGGAAGAAAGTAAAAAGTCATTGATTGAGAAGGCAAGAAAGAAGGAAAAAGTCAAAATGGATGTCAGAAGGGACACTAAAACTTTCCATCCAGCGTAGAGATGCTAAAGCAAAAGGAAGAAATGAGGAGGTCCAAGAGCTGAACAGAAAATTTCAAAGATCAGCTTGAGAGGATAAAGCAAAATATTGTAACAAAATGTGCAAAGATCTGGAATTAGAATACCAAAAAGGAAGAACACGCTCAGCATTTCTCAAGCTGGGGAAAATGAAGAAAAAATTCAAACCTCGACTTTCGTTATTGCAAGATTCTCTGAACAAATTATTGAATGATGCAGAAAGCATCAAGAGAAGAAGGAAGGAATACACAGAGTTACTGTACCAAGGAAACGGTTAATGTTCAACCATTTCAAGAGGTAGCATATGATCAAGAGCCAATGCTACTGAAGGAAGAAGTCAAGGCGCATTGAAGGAATTGGTAAAGAACAAGGCACAAGGAACTGATGGAATAAAAATTGAAATTTTTCAAGAAAGTGAGGCAGCACGGTAGGTAGCCACTCACCTCTGCCAAGAAATTTGGAAGACAACTATCTGACTGACTGATTGGAAGGGATCCATATTTGTGCCCATTCCAAAGAGAGGTGACCCAACAGAATGTGGAAATCATCGGACAATCTCTTTGATATCTCATGGAAGTAAAGTTTTACTAAAGGTAATAAAGAAACTGCTACAAGCATACATTGACAGAGAACTTCCAGAGGTTCAAACTGGATTCAGAAGAGGCTGTGGAATGAGGGATATCATTGCTACTGAAAACAGAGAACATCAGCAAGATGTTTACCTATGCTTTATTGACTATGCAAAGGCTTTCGATTGTGTGGATCATGACAAGTTATGGACAACATTGTGAAGTATGAGTCTTCCATAACACTTAATTATGTTCATGAGCAATCTGTACCTGGACCAAGAAGCAGTTGTTCGAACAGAACATAGAAACACTGAATGTTTTAAATTAAGAAAGGTGTGCAACATGGTTGTACTCTTTCATCATACTTATTCAACCTGTATGCTGAGCAAATAATCTGAGAAGCTGGGTTATATGAAGAAAAATGTGGCATCAGG